GTGTCTGGCTGGGTTCCTCCTGCCCCCCAGGGTGCTGCTGGCAGATGGGCCCTATCCCCTTCCCCCTCGCTGCCCACCGGAGCGTGGGCGGCCCCCCCAGCGCTGACCCCCGTCCCCGCGCCCCCCAGGCTGGCACCGCGCCCCTCCCGGCACCATGGCACACGTGGGCCACAGGGTGGACTACCTGGCCGGCTTCTGCTGCCCGGTGGGGGGGCTGGTGGCGGGCAAGCCCCGGGTGCTGTGCCACGAGAACGAGATCTACCTCTCCAACGGCAGCGAGTTCGTCTACGTCTACGACCAGGAGGGGAAGGTGCTGAAGGTGAGCGTCCTGGCAGGGCGAGGGGCTTCGTCCCGCGTCCCCCACGCCGGGAGGGTGCTCTGGGGCCAGTGTCCTGGCACAGGGCGAAGGTGACGGGGACACCAGTTGTGTCCCCCTTCGCTGGTCACCCAGTCTGGGGCCAGGGTCCTTCCTGGTGTCCTTCCCTTGGGGTCCCCCATCCACAAACAAACCTCACGAGCAGCGCCAGAGCCCCTCGCCCGGCTCCGAGGCCCCTTCTGGGGGTGGGGGGTGCTGCCGTCTGGCCCCTCTCTTGAACTCGCGAGACAAACATTTAATTAAACTAGAAAGGGCTTTTTCCCTCCTCAAGCGAAGTGACGTCTCTTTCGTTTCTCACCTACAAAGGGTTTCGCTATTGTCTTTGCTGTGACTAACAGCAGTCGTCGTGTTGAGTTATACACGGCTTCTTTTTTTAATTTGTTCTTATTATCATTTCTAAGAAAGCCATCACTGTAGTATCAGGATTTGCCTCCTACACTGCGCTCCTTCTCAGGAAAGTAGATCATGTACCGGCTTTCTGATCGCTATTTTCCTTCCCCTCGGGGACTGTGAGTGACGGGCTGCCTCCTTACCTGCAGGCCTTCTCCCAGCTCCCTGCTGCTCTTCACCGACAGCAGCTGCCCCTTGCCCAGGAAAGCCCAGCCAGGTCCACAAGCCGTGGTGCTGTCCAGGGATAGATTTATCCCTGGAAACTGCTTGGAATCTGCATTTGCAGGAAATAACCGCTTTAATTTGCAGTTGCCTTGGGGTTGCCCGGGAGGGAGCATTGCCTAGTGAACCGCTTCTTTCTTTACCCCGCAGGGGTGCGGGTGAGCAGGGCTCTGCCCAGCCTGGCAGCGTGGGCACCGTGGCTCCCTCGGTGCTTGCACCTGCGCCGAGCGGCCCCGTCCCCGCTGCCCCTCTGGGTGCCGTGGGAAGGTGACGTTTCTTTCTGCTTTTCCACCCAGGCCGTGTACCGGTGCCCTGACCAGGTGTGGCACGTGGAGCTGCTGCCCCAGCCCCGGCAGCTTTACATCCTCTGTGCCCACAGTGGCATTTACTGCGTCTCCCTGGACCAGCAGAGCAGGTGAGCTGGCTGTCACCCCCGGGGATGCGAGCCTGGCCTCTGCCAGCCCTGTGCCATCAGTCCTGGAGTCCCTGGGCCACTTCTCGGGGCCGGGGTGGCACATTGGGCCTTGCCCAGCCTCTGGCTTCTGCCGCTGCCCTCTCCCTGCCCATCCTCCCGCATGCACGGGAAGCATTACGCGGTTTGAAGCTCTGGCTCTCTCCAGATCGCCGCTCTTGCAGCAGATGCTAAAAGCTGTGCTGCAGGGAGCTTGTTTCTGAGGGCCAGGGTAAGAGGCGGCCAAGGGAAGCTCTGGCTTCGCCCCACGGCTTGGCTGACAGCTCTTCCCTGTTTGCTTGAAGGTTAATGGAGCAGACGGATGGC